AGCATTAAATGTGATATTTCACTCAACTAGCCACTTTTTATAAAAGGTGAAAGAGATATAAGACTCTTGTTAGAGGGGAGGATGATTGTGAGCTGAATCCAGTAAACAGAGGTCTTGTGCAAGGTTAGATGATGAAGTATAGTGAGATTAAAGGATAGAAAGTATAAGTAGTATGAGAGACAATAGAGTTAACCACAACAATAGTAATGCTCAGGATTGAAGTGAAATGGGCTAAGATCAGGGAGGGTTGCTGTGTAGTATGTACAATTGTATTGAACAATAATAATATGACAAGAAATATGTGATTTGGATAACCAGAATAAAAAGTACCCGACCAAGAGTTGTGTGTTATTGGAACACAGGTGCAGTGTAAAAAGGATAATTAAAATATAATAAAGAGTGAGTTAGGAAAACCAGTCAAACAATGCCATTATCAGAGAAATAAAACAAGGAAAACTAAATATAAGGAAGAAGAATTAAAAAAAAAAACTAATAAAACAAAAGTGGTAAAAATAATGAAAAAATAATAATACACATAAACAATAAAATGTCAGCTGTATGGTCTAGCAAAGTGACATTTGTCTCAGTTTCTCAGTTTTGGGGGTTAGCCTTGTGCTGTCTCTGGACCCTTCGTAACTCCATGTTTTATTGTCTCAGTTGGGGGAAGAAAAAAAGGAAAAGAAAAAAGAGAGAAGAACAAAAAAGAGAGAAAAGTAATAATCCAATAGTAACCGATGTCTTTAAAGCTGTTTAGGGAGTTCTGATGGTTTTCCTAGATGCCACAGGAAGAGAGGGGCTGGGCTTCACTTTTCTCCCTTCCTATGGTTTTGAGAGGATGGGGTCCAGGTCCCAGCCACAATATTCACAGTTTCCCAGCTTGCAGCCCAGGTCCTCCATGAGCTGCCAGGCTCAAATCAGCCACTCAGCCTCTAGGCATACAGTATGAGTCACTCTCAGGTATGCTGTTTCACTCAACCACTCAGTCCGGGGTGCTGCTTCAATCAGCCTCTGGGCACACAGCATGAGACAAGCTCAGGCACGTGGTTCCACTTAGCCACTGAGTCTCTGGGCACACACAGCTGAAATCACCCTCCAGCTAGCCAGCTGCTGCTTGAGAGTTCCTTACAAAGCAGATCCCCACTGTTCTTAACAAGCACATGGCTTTTCACACTGTCCAACTTTCCAACCAGTCTGGGAGACTATTCAAGTCAGGGTCTGACAAGGCCCAACTTTTCCCTTCTTCAGGTGTTGCCTGGCTCTTTAGTTTCTCTGGTGCCGACGTCCACAGTTCCAGTGTATGTGTACTGCTTCTGTATATCTCCCACTTCATCTCTATTCCCCCAGTGACTTCCAGCATCTAGGTCCCTCCTGGTGCCAGGCTGCCCTCCTTGCCCTGTTAGGGGAGGGAGCTGGTGATATAACTCTCCTCCCTGTACCCTGCGGCAGGCACTGGGCCAGGGGCCACAGCAGATTTGGTCCCTGTGCAGATCCCAGGGATCTTATTGTCCTAGCACCATCTCCTCACCATCTGTTTTTCAATGTCCTCTGCATTTTCTTGGCTCCAAACCTCACATAAGCTGGGATTCCACTGATTGTTCACTGTTCCTCAGAAGATCTGTTAGGTGTTTCAGCTTGGCACAGGGAGAACAAGGCTCTGCTCCCACCTACCTCGCTGCCATCTTCCAGATCAGATTTGAGACTATTATGGTTTTATGTATGCTAAGAACCTTCACTTCTGAAAACAAATTACCTCCCTCCTCTTGTCTTATAAAATTGGATTATTTATTGCTGCTATCCTGTTCATGTTTTACTATTAAATGTTGGAGGCTGGGATTGGAAGAAAGGAGGAGAGCCCACAATTTGTCTTTCTAGTTCACAGTGTTCTAAATCAATGGGTGCTATGCCCAAGGAAATAAACCCGTAGAATCATACCTAAGGAGGATTGTCTGCACCTGGACTTGATTTAAGTGACAAGATACACACAAAAAATTATTTTGGTGATTAAATGAGACATTGGAGTCTTGGGAATGAATTACTGTGACCAGAGAACATATTATGCTAGATTGCTGTATAATAGCCCCAAAAAATCATGCCTCCTGTATTCCACATCCTTTTGTAGTGTGACATTGCCACTCCTCCTATGAAGAGATGGAACCTGGTTTTCCAACTTGCTTTGTGACTTTCTTTGATTATAAAAAGAGACATCTGGGCCCCCAACTTTCTTTGGGCAGGAAGCAGGCTGTAAAAAGTAGAGGAATGTGGTAGAAGAGCCTAGATCTGAAGAGATGCTGTGGATAGCCTTTTTTTTCTTTTAATTTTTATTTATTGATGAGAGAGAGAGAGAGAGAGAATTGTTGTTCCACACATTTATGCATTAATTTGTTGATTCTTGTATGTGCCCTGACCAGGAATTAAACCCACAACCTTGGCATACCAGGACAACACTGTGACCAAAGGAGCTACTCAGCCAGGGCTGCATAGAGCTATTCAATTGTGCTACTGGAACATGCTGGACTACTTCTCTGAGACTACCAGGCATGTCAACAGCCAAGAATGAAAGACTACAGAGAGGGAGAGAAAGAGGAAGGTGCCTGGTCATCCCAGCTATTTCAGCTGAGTCTATCTAGCCCTCAGCCAGCCTTCTAGCTGCCTGAGTAAGCCCAGGAAAAACGGACAGAACAACCACTAATTCAACATACAGAATCATGAAAAATAAGAAATGTTGTTTTAAGCTGCTGGGTTTTGTGTAGCTTATTATTCAGTAGTAGATAACTGAAACTATCTTCAGTAGTTAAGTAAGTAATAAGATATATCTCTTAATAGTGCACACATTATGTGCTTATATTGTGCTATTATTCTAAAGGACATATTAGCTTATCCAAAGAGAGATGGTAAGGTATAATCACTAATGCCTTGGCTTGATGAATATTATATACCATTTTTGAGCAACTATAAACTATAGTAATATCTTTAAACTAGGACAAAGTGATACTTATTAATGAACTTTTTTAATTTTTATAAAACTCAACATTGCTATAATTATAATCTCAGTAGATCCACTACCTTTTATATTATAAGAAGAATAATTGCTATTAGCTGTAATACCCTCAAAGGAGATCTGAAACAGATAGAGAAGCCATGAAAGAAGAAAGAAAAATGTATACTGATAATTTTTACATAGACAATAAAGAAACCCTAGTTGTAGAAATATAATTAAGCAACAGAAACACTGGTTAGTCAGATGGCAAAATTATCATCTTCATTAAAAAATCAAGAAATACTCCTAACTTTTTCTAACAATTTCTTTTAGTGAGATTCTGAGACTGTGTGGATTTGTTTATATACTCCTTTGCTTATTGATTTGACACATATTAAGCATTTATTACTATGCCAGGCATTATGTTAGATGCTGTAGATTTCATGGTGAATGAGAGATGTATGGTAGTTTATCACCACGAAGTCAGCTGGAGGTCAAGGGATGGTGGGTAATTGAAATGTGAACACACTGTTACCATAGAGTGTGACTAGTCATAGGATAGGACACTTATAGTAATACGATTTTGTTGATTCTTCTTAAAAGTTTCTCTAGCTCAATAGCTTTTAGACTGCAGCTGTAAAAATGTCATTGTTTATTTTCTAAATTGTTCACTTTTTCAGGGAATGCTACACCTTGACCCCTCACTTCCCAGGTTTCTGGAAACCTATAAATGCCCTTGTATTTTATCATAGGAGGACCCTTATATTATATTGTGTCCTGATACTACTGACCCACAAAATATGATGCATATTAGAAGATGTCATTCTTTAATTATTTTCTTTGGATTTTCAGCTGGTGCCTAAATGCACTTTTTGAAAGAAAGAGTATCTTCAGACAGCAAATTGAAGACCCTTGTTAATGACATAGGAGAAGTAGTTTTGATTGTCTAAAGTCTGCTTTTTTGCATATCACTTTAGATCTATAGCTAGGACTACTAGATTATTTTTTGGTTTGTTTTTTACTTGACTCATGGGCATCTGAGGACTAAGATTTGCTTTATTCACCTTTGTAGATAGTGCAAGAACATAATAAATATTTGTTGAATGATGCAGAGAAACACTGCAAAAAAATTACTAATGAGCCAATGACTATGTTCCTATTGCGTTTTTACCTGGGCATGTTCAAAATTTTGATTTTTAAACCACTTTAGCAAACTACCAAAAAAGAAAAACAAAGAAATAAATGAAGTAAAATAAACACAGAAAGCAAAATAAGAACAGTGCCTAGCTTTTTTTTTCACTTTTACATGTGAAAGATAATTTTAAAACATTATCTCAAGAAATAGTTTTTCATTGTCTTTCTTATTCATAAACTTCATTATTGTCTATGCGCCAGGGACAATTTAGTACAAAACAAACAAACAAACAAACAAAAAACCTAAAATGGGAACCTACTTTGTGAAATGAAACCTAAACCAGTATGCATCATTTCAAAAGACATTGCTACTAGAGTGCCAAGCAGCTACTTAAAAATTGACAAAGCATTATTGAAAGTTTACTTTCTCTTAGACGACAGATGTTGAAAAATAATTTTCTAAAAAAAAGAAGCAGCCCTCAAGAAAGAATTGATAACCCGAGGAATGAGCTGCAAAGTTTGACAGCAAAGAATTCCTCCCTGGAGGGGCTGAATTTGAGATCCTTGTTTGCTGCAGGTCTCCTAGACTGGAGTCTTAAGCTTTTCCTCCTGACCCCTCTCAGGCTGCTCCTCGCCGTTGTTCTCCTTAGTTAAGGAAACGTCAAGTTTAGACAGAAAAGGGCTGCAGACCCTTCCTCCAGCTTACCCCTCCCGCAGTCACGTACTCCTTCCTAGCCCTTTCCTCTTGACACGCCTTCCTACCTGGTCCTCTGCCCTTCCCCTTTCATCCACTTCCCCCCTTGGCCCCTCCTCGTTGGTCCTTTTCCATAGTTCCCGCCTCCCGCGTCTCCTCCTCATCCCCCTCATCAGCCCTCTGCTCTTTCTTTTCCTCTGCTTCTCCTCCCCTTGTCCTGATCCGGGGTGCGCTACCCTCCCCGCCTCCTCTCCCCGGGAAATATACTGGTCGGCTGCTGTCGCAGCCCCAGCCCCTCCCACGGAGCCGCAGCCCTGCTCGTCCCGCCCGGCCGCAGCTGCCGCAGTCATGGCTGCTGAGGGAACAGACGAACGCTCGCCTCTGCTGTCTGCCCCCCATTCGGGAAACGTCACTCCCACCGCCCCTCAGTACTTGCAAGAAAGCAGCCCCCGAGGTAAGGCCAGCATCGACTCTCCTACCCGGTGGGAAAGACCTAGGACAGCAAAGACAAGCGGCTGCAGCTCTGGCTAAGGGGCCCTGTCCCCTGGTGTAGGAGACTGATGCTGACTGCCTTAGAGCCTGCAGGCCTGACCCCGCGCTGCAGGCTTCCTTGTGTGTGTGTGTGTGTGTGTGTGTGTGTGCGCGCGCGCGCGTGTGATTGGAAGTGTGTGTGTTTGCCACCCCTTCGGACTCACGGGTACGGGATGCGATGTGAATTTCCGAGCTGGGCTTCGCTGTTTCAGAGCAGACCCAAGTGCAGCTGGGAGTGGTGCTCATCTCTCACAATCATTCAGGAACCCTTTCAGGTTGCTGAGAAACCTCGGGAGTACTGCTCACCTTGGCATCTGTACTTGAAAAGGCTTAGCTTGAAAGATATGCATCTTCTAGGTTTACCCACCAGTGCTCTGTTCAATCAGGAAATTGCTTTACCAAAAGGAGTAGAGTTAATCAATATTCCTGGTATGTCTGAAATTCTTGCCCTTCCTTGTTACTCCTGCTTGAAGACTATGTGCTAGCTTGTGAATGAGGAGGGAGAGAAGGGAAGATGGAGTATTTTTGATACATATCTAGGTGAGATTGAAATGAACTTATAAAAAGTAACCCAAATTAATGCTGCATATATTTTTATACATTTTCCTTTTCAAGATAGAATCCAAAAAGATTTGATAGCTATGGGATTTACAGAAGGAAGAAGGATCGATTTACCAAACTATTAAATTTATTGAAAGATCTTTGTCCTATGCTTTGAGCTGATTGCTGTAGGAGAAATAAGGGAGGGTCAGGAGTATAGAAAATGGAAGGCAATACTTAAAAAAAGCTTAACAATAGTGAAAAGATTGATCAAATATGGCTTTTGCAACTGTAGCTTAAGTTCATCTTTTTATTTAGTTGGTGTGAGAGAAGTTTAAAAATCCTAGGAAGCAAATGTTAATTTTGACAATATGGGCAAATCTTGTTTCCTGTACACACTTTTTCCAAGTTCAAGTCTGGAATTGGAGCAAGCTGTAGAGCACATTGAACTTGTCTAGCATTTAAAAATTTTCATTTAACACATTATAACTTGAAAAGTAACAATTGAGCTCTTAATCCACACTTAACAAGAAGCAGGACAAAGTGAAAAGATATTTAGCTGTGAATAATTCAGTATTATCAGTGTTGAGAAATAAGGTACAAAATGGAACAAAGACTCACCTTAGAAAGCACACAACTCATGTGTTGTTGTTTTTTTTTTTTTTTTTTGGTCAGCATTAAACTTGTTCCAGAGGATACCAGATGTAGAATTTTCTTTAATGGGAAAATTTGATATTAATATTTTACTGCTATCTAAATTATATGGTCCAGAATGGGTTTAAATACTTACCAGTGAATGCTTCAACTTCATCCAGTCACCATTTAAGACAAAATATTTGAAAATTTAATTTGGAACAACAAGGAAGTCACACTGCAAAATATAGATTGGTTGTGACAAAGTCACTTTCCTAGGGGATGGTGGATAACCTCACTAGTACAGATCAAGTAGCTACTTATTGACTGGCTTAAGGTTCCATTTCTGGGAGAAGATAGAAGTATGATTAAGTCTCCATTTGGTGACATGGGGCTTAGCATAAGTGACTCATTTTGGGCCTGTTGTCTTGTTTTTAACTACTGCTTTAGCCAAAATGATCTTTCTGCCTTATGGTAGAATAACTTTTCTTCTTCTCCTTCTCCTCCTCCTCCTCCTTCTCTTCCTTCTTTTTCTACTTCTTCTCCCTCTCCTTTTTCATCTTCTTTTTTAAACTTTAGCTTTTTTTAGAGAGAGGAAAAAAAAAACATTGATTTGTTGTTTCACGTATTTATGCATTTATTGGTTGATTGCTGTATGTGCCCTGACCAGGGATTGAACCCACAACTTTGGTGTATTGGGATGACCTTGTAACCAATTGAGCTGCCCGGCCAGGGCCTAACTTTTTTTCTTAACTGGTAAATGATAATTAGATAATGAGAAAGTAATTTCATATGGCATTATATCTAATAAACATGAAATTTAAGTGAGAAGTAATTTTATTTACATTTTGGACAGATATTTACATGGTGGGAAGAGAGCAAAGGAGTGTATCTCATTCAAGAGGGCTACCCTTATGACTTAATACCTACAAGAAGCCATGCCTCCTCATACCATCACATTGGGGGTTAGGAGCTAAACATATGAATTTTGAGGGAACACACAAACATTCAACCCATTTCAAGAGTCCTTGAATATACAGGGATGGGCCAAATAGGTTTACACTTGTGAGAGACATTTGTTTAAAGCTGTTGTAAGAATCATAACCTGCATGTCTTTTTCCAGACAAACAACTGGAAACCTAATTTTGCCCTGCCCTGTATTTGGACACACTTGACTTCTGAACATCCTTGCAGAGTATAAGGTTAGGTGTGGATTGGTAGGAAGAGATGACATATACCACACACACAAAGCACTGGAAGATTAATTTAACTTCTTACCTTATTTGCCAAGGATTTTGAAACCCTCTGAAAGACAGGTTGTCACAATGAGTCAAACAAATGCAGTGTATTTGAGAGCAGCTACCCAAAGCCCACTGAAGGCCCAAACAGGGCTGTGGAGGGTCTTGATGAAGCTTGATTTGGGGCTATGCGAAAGCTAAGGATCCATTTAAGGGAATTTTTTCAAACCAGTTTTTGAATCAAAATCTGCTTTGCTGAGGCCACACTCTTATGAAGGGGAAATGGAGCCCAATTTGGTGAAGTGTATCTGCTTCCAGTTTTCCATTATTGTGGGAGCCCATTTTCTTTCCCATTGTTCAGCAGGCATCAGACTCCATGTTTCCTGTATTCTTTTTTTTTTTTTAAAGGAAGGGGTATTCTTTATTTTTAAGATTTTATTTATTTATTTTTTAGATAAGGAAGGGAGGGAGAAAGAGGGAGAGAGAGAGAAACATCAATGTGCGGTTGATAGGGGTCATGGCCTGCAACCCAGGCATGTGCCCTGACTGGGAATTGAACCTGCGACACTTTGGTTTGCAGCCCACGCTCAATCCACTGAGCTACACTAGCCCGGGCACCTGTATTCTATTTATAATGCCCACATGTTCTCCCAGCACTAGCTAGCATCTTTAAAACATTAATTACAAAATGTTGCATTCAGTCATTCATCCTTTCAAATATTTGAGCAACTAGCATATGGTCCCAGATATTGGAGAGCTTGCACTCCAGTGAGAGAGACATACAGGACCATTATAATTTCAGAGCAGAGAGAACACAGAGGGGCATGAGGACAGAGGTAACTGGTAGCATTGGGTTGTTACAGATCTTGTGTTCAGGAAAGATACCTCAAAGATGACAATTGCTTAGAGATCTGAAAAAATGAATTGCAATCAGTTGCTGGAAGACTTTGGGGAAGAGTATACCGGGCAGTTGGAACAGCAAGTATAAAACATGTTGATTTAAAACAAAGAGGACAATGGGTTAGAGTATGTGATGTAGGGCAGGTATGGTAGAAGCAGTTAGGGGTCTGCATTAGGGACAACCAGGAGAGCTTTGTAGGACATTGTCAGGAATGGGATTGTATTCCAAGGATAATGGGAAGCCGTGGAAGGTTTAGAGCTAAGGAGAGACGTGAAATGTTTTACTTTTCAAGATCATTCTGGTTGGTATGTGGACAGTGGATGATTGGGGGAAATTGAGAAGGGATTAGTAACACATGAGATGAATCAGAAGACTGTTCAAGTGGAATATGTCTGAACTAAGGCAGGGTGGTGGAAGTCGTGGGATACAGGGCATATTGTAAGTAGAAACAAAGGAATCACAAATCTCCAAAATGACCTAAGCAACTAGGTAAAAAAAATGTGTTTTTATCTAACATGGGCAATCAGGAAGAGAAGTTTGTATGCAGGAAGGGGGAGGATGCTGGAAATCAATATTCTGTTTTGGATAAGCTGAATTGAAATACCTATAGTCATCACTCAACTGGAAGTGTTGATCAGATAGTTGGATGTACAACTCTGAGTCTGAGGAGATATTAGGGCTGAAGAATACATTTCATTCCCCATGTATTTATTATATGTATGATAACACGTGGCTGTGGTGACAGATGATGCTCTCAATTTTCCATTTTATTTTCAAGGATTCTACAAACTTCTTCCAGGAATGTCAAACTGTTAGGCTAGAGTATTCTGTTAAAATCTTGTAAGCTTTACTGGGAGATGTAGCATGACATCTGTCAAGAGGCTATTGGGAAGGTGATCCAAATAGAAACCCTAATCCTTCTGCTTTTGGGAAAAGCAGACAAACCTGGATACAGCTTTGTGCTCAATTGTTTTGTGTTTAATTTTTATAAAGCTGAAGAGATACATTATAACCTGGGAATGACATCCCTTTAATAGCTCCTGAAAGGGAATGCATTCTTCTTGCAGTTTTCTGTTCGCTTGGGAGGACTTCTAATCTTTTTTTTTGTGGGGGAGGGGGGCGGTGAGGGTGCTTCAGAGTTTGTGTTGCTTTGGCACTTTTCTAGATTTCTGTTTTTACCCTGGTTGCTGTTGTAAAGTGAATTTCTTTTTCTCTGTAAGAAAAAAATATGCATGTGAAAAAGAAATGGAAAGCATAGCTCATTTTTCTGGCCTTCAGATAAGTTTCCCAAGCATTCTATATAAATCCCTTAATATGGTCTCAGGGACATGATGACTCCAGGAGTTGTTTGGCTTGGGGGAATCTCACAGTTTCTGCCTATTATGACTTGTTACCTTAGAATCATTACTTTACATCTCTGGGACTCAGTTTCCCACCTGAGAAAGAGTGATATGCCATGTCCCCTTTTGCAGTCATAGTCTGTGACACAGTTCTTGGTAAGAAATCTGATCACACCTAGGAGAATGTATCCACGTTAAAAAAAAAAAAAAGATACCGCCCTCTGGGTCACCCAGACAGAATTCCTGGTTGATTTTCACAGCCACATATTGT